TATCGTGCCCAGCGGAAGAAAATCCCCAAATATTAAGGGCTTTTTGTCCTCCCCTTTAGCGACAGCTGCTGGAGTGGGTCCTCACCCTTTTATGACTGGACTGTTTGGGGACTGAGTTTGTTTCAGTATATCCTTGTTATCGTTCAGTGGAAAGAACTAGGCGAACGTTGGATGTGTAAAGATTTCTACGTTGGGTATTAGTAGAAGAGGGGAAGAAGCTCCCCTTTGATTCTTGAAAAATATTTATCAAGTTTTGTAAGGATTTTTGCATTTATTATGGCATTAACCAGAAGAAAGGCCAGTGCAAGGTTTGTGACATCTAAGCAGCGCTGAAGGTATGTTCTTTGCAAATGGCACTCTGTGAGAATAAGTGCAGTTTTCCAGTCTCCTAGCAACGCCGTTGATTGATTCAAATTCTGGCCAATCGGTGTGTTCCTCTTCCCCTTCAAATGTTTTTGACAAGTACAGCAGGGAGTGTAGCAAAGTGCAGCAAGGAAACTGTCCCTGGCTGGCTGCTCTTTTTTTCCCTTTCAAAATGACGGCTTGCTGTTTTTGTTGTTGCTGTGTGTGTGCTTTTTTTTTAAAGGATACCTCTCTGAGTCTAGTCAGTCATGATGCAGGTAAATAGTTTTTTTTTTTTTTTTGGAGAAACGCTAATATCCCCCCGGTTGCCTCCTCTGCCTTCCCCCTCCTCCTTGTGTGCCTCTGCCATCTCAGTTTTACAGCTGCAAAGGCAAAAAGCCTTGCTTTCTCCTACGCAGCAGTAAAGTTTGCTTTTGAACTCATTGGTAAGCAGTTCGGAGCATATCAGATGGAGTTATTTAATTGGCAGCGGACTGCAGGACGTTTGCTTAGCTGCAGCAGTCCATGTGATTTCGCCTAATAGGAAATGCGTTAAAACAACATTCTTAAAGTTGGAGTCCATTTATGTAAAACTTGAAGGTGTTTCCAAAACTTTTTGTTATACTGTATGTTTGTCTGTCCCCTTTGTGCACCCCTCATAAATTTGGGCCAGGGTTTCAGTGCTTGAGAGTGTAACTTAAGCTACGTGATTGTCCGCCGCCCTTCTTGGGAACTTTCCATGTCTTCAGTATGGGGTTGTGAATACGGGGCTCTGGAAGGTCAAAGTTTTGGCAAAAAATTATGGCAAGCTCTGCCACCTTTTGAATCCTCTTTGCAGATGGTGGCTCTTCCGAATGTAAAAAGCAGAAATGTTGTAGTATTTATGGGAGTGCACTTCTCTTGCTCGTTCCTGTTTTGAATGCTTTCCCTGTGAGGTAAACATCAAAACATAGACAAAACTCACTAAATCAAGGTTACTGATGTTAAAATGTGTATGGGCAGTGCAAGTTTCAACAACTACAAACCTAAAGGCATATGTAACATTTTGCAGTAGCTTATTTGTGCCATTAAAATATTATCGGTGGGATCTGCAAGGTATGTTTACAATATTATCCTAACATCAGTTCCACTGAGTTCAGTAGTGTTTGCTCATAACCAGTATGTTTGTTAAGAGATTGCTGCTCTGAAAAATCTGTGTTTTTTAAAACTATTGACATATTAAAGTTACCATGTAGGCTATTCTGAAGCGATGTTGAGGACTGCATTTTAGAACTGAGATTGATCCCTTAGAAATTCAACCTTTAGAAATTCCAGGTTTGAGCCCCACATCCATGGAGTTTACCGTAAGTACTGAAAGTGTAGTCACTGGTTTTTATGTGAAAATGATGGTATGATATAGCCCTTTGGGAGAGCACTGGCAAGTAAGCAAATTAAACTGAAAGAGAGCAGCATGTTGTCATAGCAACAGAGCAATTAAATTATGTTGTCAGCCATGATATAATTTTCCTATTTAAAAGCTTGCTCATGGGACATAACTTCTGTTTGTACTGAACTCATTTGGCTACAGTGCTCCCAACTGAAAGGGAGGGAAGATAAATAATGTTTGAGGAATACGTGAAGTATGGTATCATTCAGCATTCATATAGCTGTTCACAGCTGAGGCATATACTCCTACCCCTCCCCATTACAGTTCATCAGTAGAGCTGAGAGTGAAACATACAGTACTTTGTAGTAACTTGTCTTGCAGTTACAAAGCACAGTTTAAATATTTATATAGAATTTATAAGGAAGGCCCTGTTGAGCAGCAGGAAAATAGCAATATTTCCATGGGGCTAAAAATATTTTCTTAAAGCCACTACATTTCAGTAGGAATGTAGTTTGCAATAGTTTTATATCTTCCAACTCCTGAGATCTAAATTATTAAACTAACTATTAGAAAAGAACTCCCAGTAAATTAAAATTTTGTTTTCATTAGAGAACTGGCTTTTACAGGGTATTCAATATCTTTTTTCTTATATTTAGCACTGATGTCCAATAACTACCTGATATATCTCTCTGCCACAGGGGTTTTGCATTTTATTCTATGGTAATGTCCTTTTTTATCAATGGGTCATCTCCCTCCTGGCATCACCCCTTTTAATGACTGCTTATGCAATTACAAGTTTCTCTTGTTATAATGTTTCTCCTTGACAGTTTTATCCCTTATAAAGTTTTGTGTTCAGTGATCTGTGCTCTTAAAAGGTATAATACAAGGTTTATAAATCAGACGTTCTTCTAAATACCTTTCTTCCCAGTATTAGATATATTGGCTCAGGGCTTTTTAAAAACAAGTTCCATATTTTGGATACTTCTTTTCTTCTTCTTTTTAAAGCCCAAAGCCTTCCTGTTCCTCCAGAATATATTTTTACTGGACTGTATAATGTTAATTATTTCTGAAATCTGAATGCACCACATTATAGTCAGCAAAATTTCAAGTTATGACAAGCATAGTTTACTAAACATGTTTTAACAGTACAGTATGTTAAAGTATCAAATAGTTTATTTGAGGATTTTAGTAGAAGGATGAATTGTAAATCTTTGGCCAGGTTCCCATTGTTTACTTATGCTGTTGTAAGTGCAGTAGTATAAATTGCAGTGGCAGCTTGCCAATAGACAATAAGTTGCGGGTTGTATCCTTTGTTGTGCACCAACTCATGTGGCTGGCATACAACAACAGACACAATCAGTGAGATGTTAAGGGGTGGTAGTGTGTCACTGCAGTTTACACCACGGTATTTATGGTGGCATCACTAACGAATAGGATTCTGGCTAGTCTGTCACTAAAAGTAGATGAGGCTTTAACTGGTTATTCTTGACAGTGGAACTGAGGCTTAATAGAGAAGTATAAGTGGAAGGACAGATCCTGAAACTGAGGCTCCAATACTTTGGCCATCTTATGAGAAGAGAAGACTCCCTGGGAAGGACCCTGATGTTGGGAAAATGTGAAGGCAAGAGAAGGGGATGACAGAAGATGAGATGGTTGGACAGTGTCATTGAAGCTACCAACATGAATTTGACCCAACTCCGGGAGGCAGTGGAAGACAGGAGGGCCTGGTGTGCTCTGGTCCATGAGCTCATGAAGAGTCGGACACGACTTAATGACTAAACAACACAAGTTGGGCCATGGATGCTGGGAGAAGTTATGAAGATTATCCCTGAAATCCTGTTGCTTAGCATACATATACTAGAGTACTACTTATAGTTGGGGCTTACTATGCTCAAGTAAGTGACAGCTAGAGTAGGCCCATTTGAATCACTGGACCATGGTTGACTCACTAAATACCACAAATTCAGTAAGACTACTCTGGTGCAACTTACTTTGCTAAGCAATAGGATTTCAGACTATGAGTATTTTTTTAAAAATTATCTATAAAGCTGGCCTATGAAGCAGTATAAATACCATGATTTTAACTTTGTTAATAACTTGATTTTTAAAACGAATTTTGAAATCATTAAAATGCAATTTTAATTTGCATAGTCTTTTCTGGGCCTTAATATAGCAGTAACAGCCTCTACTGATTTGTGCATGATGTCACTCTTCATGCTTTTTTCTAAGTCATGCTTATCACATTTATTGCTCCTTCTCTTTCAGTGTATCAGTGGATTTCTTTTTTTATAATGATCCATTCTCTGCCAAAGTTTATGTTTGAATTCTTAAATCATGACTCTGAGCCCAAGCTACAGAATCTTTGTAGTTTCCTTTGGAGGCCAAAAAGTTAGTCACCGTAGTCAGTGACTGCTTGGTTGTGAATGTGACTCTCTCTTTGTGTATATGTGTGATCAAACATGGAGTTTCCTCTGCTTGCGCACTCGGCTGGAGCTGGAGAGGCTATAATTATAATGTTCCTGTGTTTGTACTGGAAGTGAAACAGCTGAACTTAATCTGAAGCAACTGGTCTTAAGCTCTCAGTTTTTTTGTGCTTATTACAAGCAGCAGGAATGACATGGCTTGTGATATTTACAATCCTCCAAACCTAGGCATGCTTGCTTCCAATGATTTAGTGAGTGTGCTTCCTAAAGAAATACCGTGTTTTCCCGAAAATAAGACAGGGTCTTATATTAATTTTTGCTCCAAAAATGCAGTAGGGATTATTTTCGGGAGATGTCTTATTTTTTTCATATACAACATTTATTTAAATACAGTCATGTCATCTTCTTCTGTTTGATGCACAATGGTGGAGGTCAGGGTTTCACTTAACTAGGGCTTATTTTTGGGGTAGGGCTTATATTATGAGCATCCTGAAAAATCATATTAGGACTTATTCTCAGGTCTTATTTTGGGGAAACAGGGTATATAAAAGTTTGGTATCTGAACACATATAATGTATAGATGTACCTTTAGTTGTTTTAGTGTACAGACAGATGGAACAAAAAACAGTACACAGAGCTTCTTAGAAGTACCATTCCTAGTGACTAAAATTTCATTCTTTTCTTAGTCCCTGAAGTTTCTTCATGCATAAGCCTTGATATGTGTTTATGTGATACTGTCTTCTTTTGAAGGTGTGGGTTTCATAGAAGATCAAATTGTAGGCTGGGGGAAATCTGTCAAAGTTTGTAATGCTCTCTGTGCCTTTAACAGCTAACACTTTTTCTCCCAACATTTGAATTTATTTTCCCAGGAGCCTCAGTCTAAATGGGTCCAGTTATGCCTCCCAGTAAAAAGCCAGAGGGCTCAGGAATTAGTGTTTCGAGTGGATTGAGCCAGTGTTACCGGGATAGTGACTTATCAAAGACGCTTCATGATGAGGAGGACTTAGACTTTTCTTTACCTACTTTCCGATTGGAAAAAGGTCCCATGGAGGATGAAGAACTAACCAATTTGAACTGGTTACATGAAAGTAAGAACTTGCTGAAAAGTTTTGGGGATTCGGTCTTAAGAAGTGTTAGTCCAGTGCAGGATGTTGATGACGACACCCCACCATCTCCTGCTCATGCTGACATGCCCTATGATGCTAAGCAGAACCCCAACTGCAAACCACCCTATTCCTTTAGCTGCCTCATATTTATGGCCATTGAAGACTCTCCAACCAAACGGCTGCCTGTAAAGGATATATACAACTGGATTTTGGAACACTTTCCTTATTTTGCAAATGCCCCGACGGGATGGAAAAACTCTGTGAGGCATAATCTGTCGTTGAATAAATGTTTTAAGAAGGTGGATAAAGACAGAAGTCAGGTGAGGCTGGAATAAAGTTACTTTCACTGTCTGTATAATACACTGAATCTTCTAATCTTTACTCTGCTTTTTTTCCTTTTGGTTTCAAATGGAACAAGCAGTCCTGTGTCTAGGCTTCCCTCTCCCCCAGTTTTAACTTCATTGCATTAAAAGTGCCAGTATTTTGCTCTCAGATGGTTCATTTTTGATGTCATTGAAATCTTTGTCTAGACAGCTGCAAGACAGTGCTCTTCTTGTAAACGAGTGGGGTTGTGCATTTTTAAATTCCAATGTATATCTCTGTGAATAGTATTTTGTGGTTATTAATTTCACTCTGTGAAATACAATTTTGTGGTTATTATCAGTAGTTATTGTGCTCTGCTGATGGTTACCAGAGATATTAGAAGGATGGAACTGGTTTTACTCTGTACGCTGCCTAAATACTTCTGTAAACTTTTTGTTTTCTTGGACAAGAAGTTGATTGTATAGAATATTGGAGAAACTGGGGAATATTTATAGACCCTTATTTATAGCATTATTTATAGCATTACTCACCTGGTAAGTCTGTGTCTTCAGTCTTGTGTTTTATGCTATTTATTATGTGAGGTTATCCTCATTGGAAAGAAACAGCAAACATTTCCTCCTTTCTTGTAAAATACAGTGGTGCCTCGCTTAACGAGGATAATCCATTCCAGCGAAATCACTGTAAAACGAAATCCTCGTTAAGCGAAATTAAAAAGCCCATTGAAACGCATTGAAAACCCTTCAGTGCATTCCAATGGGCTGAAAACTCACCGTCCAGCGAAGATCCTCCATAGGGGCGCCCATTTTCGCTGCCTGTAAAGCAAGGAGTCCATCCTAGAAAACGGCGGGGGGCCATTTTGTTCACCCGGTGCCCATTTTGAAACCTGACGATCATCTGTTTTAGATCATCGTAATGCGAAAATCGGTTCCCGAGGCAGGGAACCGATCATCATGAAGCGGATTTTTTCCATTTAAACCATCGTTTTGCAATCACTTTTGTGATCGTAAAAACCTAATCATCAAGAGATTTCCTCGTTAAGCGAGGCAATTGTTAAGTGAGGCACGACTGTAATGGGTTTTTCCTGGCTTTATTTATGAGAATTCTTTCATTGGTGAGAACTGTGTTTGTCCAAATTGTTATGTTACAATGATTGCTATATTCACACATGGATTATATAAGAATTTAAAGCATTGTATGACTTGTTTGTAGCTTTCTGAGCAATCATTCAGCCCTTCTTTGTTTGCTCTCTGTGCGTGTTTTGCTTCTCAAAGAGACTGGTCACTAGTTCTGTGCAGAGACATTTTGCTCAAATTACAGATATCTTGCACAGTGTTCTTTTCTCATTCTTGCACTGAAGGTGAAAAACAACAAGGAACTTGGTATCTCACTATATCAGGGAGAATGAGGAATGTCTGCTTTTTGGGGATTTGTTGGTCTCATTTGCCCCACATAGGTTAATTTCATGACACAAGTATACATATCAGATACCTCTAATATTTGTGCAGTATGCCTAGTCACATTGCTATTAAAATACAGAAATATATTGTTTTTTTTTTCATGAGATCACATTGTGCTGTGTCCTTAAACTGTCAGAACATACAGCTAGGCTTTGTTATCAGTACCCTCTTCCTTGGCTTTTCCTTTGTAGTAACTTTTGGAGTGGGATGCAGAAATCTTGAATTGGAGAATGATTATGCTTGGTTGTGTTCCTTCCTTGAGTTGGCAGAGGTGCTTGCGTTGGAATGAGTTGAAAGTCTAGGATATGCAAAAGGGGAAATATTTTATCTGCCTCTTGAAATGAAATTAAATGTATACCCTCACGTGGCTTCCATGTGCAGGTCTTCTACTAGGATGTGTCTTGGAATACAAATCCCCTTAGCTTTATGCTAGGAATGTCTCTGTACCGGGACAGACTGTTAGTCCATATAGCTCAGTAATGTCTATTTTGACAACAACATTCTAGAGTCTTACTCATCATCATCTTCTATCTAATCCTTTGGATCCAAAGTGGGACCTTATGCATGTGAGCAAAGCATTGGCTTTCTTACGGAGCTGTAATCCCATCTGATAACTTCAACAGTTGAACCATATCAAATGATTTCCGACTTTTCCTTGGACCATTATTGTGACCTGGAATCCGCTTGTGGCTCATTTTGAGACTGATAAAGTTATAAGATTGGAAAACTGACATCTCTGTTGCATGGATGTTTTGTTGGGTAGAGTGCATGCATAATTGTAGTAACATTTGCATCTGTGTTGAAAATACGTCCAAATCCCTGGAAAGATAATACATGCTTGATATCACTGCAGTTGATATATAATTTCTATCATCCCTGATGAATTATAAAAATATGTTTTGGGTAAATACACTAGATGACAGGTTAAAGATGTGAAAGAATGAACTAGATTCTAAGATAGGCAAGAATGCTTGCAAAGCAATGAACAGCACTATTTTTTTAAACAAACTGTGAAATACAAATCCTACCCTTCCTGTTTCTCCAAAAAGCTAGAAATTGGTCTGGGAGGCATTTGATATCAAGTTGCTAAAAAGAGAGAAGCAGATTATGTAAACGGATTCTACAGACCTGAAAGAAGTGTTGAAGTTGTATCTCTTCTACTTCTATTTCTTATATATTAGTGCCAGGGAAAAAGAGTTCTGGATGAAGAATGCAGCTATTCCATCCATATCAGTACTGTATACTGTTTTGTTTATTTTTATTTGTATTTTCATTGTGTCAGTTTTAGAGATGCTCTTAGTTTGTACAAAATGCTTTAAACTCAAGGTGGAAAGGTTTGTGTGCATGTGTAAATAAACAGTGTCAGTAAGAGCTTTGTAACCTTCAAAAACAGCTGGATTACTCAGTGCTTTAGGTACCTGAAGTTCGATTCTCCACCCTGCATCCTTGACAAGGGCTGGGCTCGATCCGTAGGGTCCCTTCCAGCAATGTAGTTCTAAGATTATTTATAAATACAAGGCCCAAAAGTCACTCAATGGCTTGGACAGAAATAGTGCTTTTCTTGCTGAGGAACAAATGAGAGAAGTTGTAGTAATTTGCAGTAGCTGAACAATCTTACTCTTGTCCTTTTAGTATGCTTGGACATCTCTCCATCTGTTTACAATGTTCTTCAAAGAGTGGTTGACAAGCAGAGCAGCATACATTACTTTAAGCATCATGATTATTCAATCAAGATTTAGACTGCCAAGCTAATTTCAAGTTTGCATGATTTTTGCTTTCTGACATTTCTGTTAAAGAGTGTTTAACAAATTTTTGCTACAGCAGATTGATTAAAGACTGAGTTGGGCCCTTAGAAGGGAATGTTGTCTTATTGCTTACTAGAATGTTTTGCTGTTTTAGAAAAAAGTACATGCTGGTTGCTTATTTAGTAAGTTTATTTTGTATCAGGTTTCAGAAGGGTATTGATTTTTAGTGGTCTAAATAAAGGTATCATCTCCTCTGCTTTTGGATTAGAAGTCAGATAAACATATACAAAATGTGCAGTCCTTCCTTCTAGGGCATGAAAGAGCAGAGGTGGGAAAAGAGAACTTTTTAAAATTTGGACCACAGCTCTTAAAATTATGGGAGCTCCAGGTTAGACAAGGAATTTTTCCAATTTCTGTAAAAGAATCTTCCGTCCACTTACTGTGAATTTACCTCCTCTGATTCTTTGTTTGCTGAGCAGTATAAAACTGCATCAGAATTTGGAATGTTGTCCTGTATGCACTCAGAAAATGATACAGTATTGCAGAAAGGTGGTTCTCCATCTTTCCCATCTTGGATAGAGCCAGTTGCTGTGTCAAAGAACCTGGGTCCCACCATGACAGAAACAGTGAACCTATTTCTTTCATAAAGGGCAATGATATGTTTACAAACATTCTGCTGTTATATTCATTGCTTATTGTAAGTTTTTTTGGGGGGATCAAAAATTGCAGCGGCATTTTTGGTCATTTATATGAAAACCCCATGCTGCATCCAGTCTGTTACTGTATCTCATCAGTAAGTAGTATACAGTGTGATCCAGTCGTTGGGAACTTACTTTTTCAGGACTGGAAAAGATTTAATGAAGTACAGTCAGAACGACTAATAGGCTAAAACAGCTTCTCTGTGAGGAAGGACAGCAGCACATGACACCCTTAGCCTGTCCCCTTATGCAAAATGTCTCAAAGGGACAATAGGTGGGACAAAGTTGTGTGTAAAACTTAAGATCTTTAAATGTCTGGAGCATTCATTCATGTCTGAGGTTTTTCTTTCCTTATGATTCATTTGTTTTGGCTTTACTGTTGCTCCAACACTTCAAAAATAACCTCTTTCAACTTGACACCTGTGGCAGCCTTACACATATATTTTTGTATTCTGTTATATAGCTGCAACTCTTAGGTCAATGTTGTGCACTTGAGTTAATCTCCCATTCCAGAGTGGGGAAAAGTGGAGTACATAACCAATTATCAGTGTAAAGCAACTCTTCTTTTAGGACAGATCCTTGTTTATTAGTTGTTGTTGTGGTGTCTGTGTATTTTTAAACTGTATGCAGGCATTCTCGTTTCCTATATGTGTCCTTGCTTTAGGAGGACAACAAACATTTGGAACATTGCAAGTATAGTGACTGTTACCAAGTGAATGCTCGGAATTGGCTTGTATCCTAATGTTTTGGTTCCCTGAACAGAATAGGGCTTCACCCTAAAAATCTTAAACCTGTGAAATGTTAACAGGTTTGCTGGTAGGGGAGATATAGTTGGCAGTGCCATGTCCAGAGATGATAAACAGTTGTGGGGTTTCTGGTTTTCCTAGTGAACATACCCATGCTGAACATGGTATTCTGGGAGTTGTAGTCCAAAATCCAAATGTTTTCAATCTCTACTGGAGTCATCTTATGTATAGTGTTGTTAGCAAGAGATTGTATGTGAAGAGGACAGCTAAGTGAGACTTGAGACATTGATGAAACAGCTGGGAGATAGGAATTTCATCATTGTCTTACTGGAATAGAAATATGGGTGAAA